TATATATATATATATATATATATATATATATTAAAATCTCAAAATAAAATTAATCTCATATTGTTTTTTCAATAATTTGTATAGCATGGATATAAACTCATTTTTAAGTGATATAATGATATCATTAAAATACAGCAATAAAAAACATAATATGCTTGCCATGATGTACTTTTGACCAAAAAAAGTAAATCAATATTCGTAGTAGAAGGTATATAAAAAATACAAATTAAATTCTTTTTTTTATTATTCAATAGTATTGTATAGAAAATTTTATAAGGTTTTGTATGTACAAAAAAACTTTTTAGAATTCAAACCATCATATGGTAGTTGGATATAAGTGGTGACTAGCTATGTAACGACCAAATAGTTATCTTTTGTTGTTATGATACAAATAATATTGAATGTGGACCAATGTGGAGTTGGGGGATGTGACTTATGACTAGTTGTGACTTATGACTAGTTGTGGCAATCAAGCATTTCTTTCATTGATTTAGGTTCAATGGGTGGGTTAGTGCTTTCAATTATCTACTATACTCATGTATCAAATGACTTTAGACATTGACACGTCATCAACAAAATTCATCATTTGGCATGGATCTCGAGGCAATTAGCATGAATCCTTGAACAAATTTTGGCGAGAAACGTTCAAAGTCAGATTTAAAATCATCCAAAACTCTTATTTCAGCAAACTTACGATCAAGCTTACCGAATCGATGAGACGGGCTCAAATACACTAAAATTAATCTAATTTAAGTCACATCAAGCTCAGATCAAGTCATTAAACAACTTTTAAAACTTTTGGTAGTTAATTGTGGAAGGCCAAACAGATTCAAAATTTGACAAGCTTCTAGTCAAATCAAGTGTCTCAAAGTGAACGAGCTCAAGATCATTTTATTATGATAATTATTAAGACGTCTAAATGTCCACCAAATATCATCCAATCAAGAAAATCTCTCTGGCTGGATTCCTTACTTATTTGTAGGTAGACCTCACGCAGACTCTATAATAAGGCTCTACTCCTCACATGGAAACGGACATATGCCTTAAACTTGAGAAAGAGCTGAAGCTAGAGTTGGATTAGAAGGAGTTGAATTTCTGTGTTATCATGCATTGAAGACCTGATGAATGCTTCACGCTAATGCAGATGTCAACCACCGTCATCCACTGCCTGTCGGCCACCGTCGACCTTTGTCGGTCGCCCCTTGTTTGTTGCAACAAAGCCTTATGTGGAATCACGATGCACGCTGCGAAGTAATGAAGCACCATGAGAAATAATGACAAGCTTTGTAGAGTAACGAAACATTCTACAAAGCTACTTGCCCTAAAGATGGTGTACCAACTGATTATGAAGACGGTGTACAATGTCCCAAAGACGATGCAACTTGTAGCTCAAATACAGTGCAGCAACACGCCACATATACTATCTAACTCCTCATAATAACTACTTACAACTGTCGTACTCAGAATACAATAGCCAAAGTTCTCTCCTCGTAGATGCCCACTATAGCCTACAACTTATACGATTCACTACAACTACAACCCGATATTACGAAAAAATATTAGATGTGTAATCTGCACCTGCGAATTAAGTTAAAATGAGGAGAGGGAAAAAATGTTAATTTCTCTCTCTCATTTCAACGTAATCCAGAGGTGCGGATTACATACCAAATTTTTGCTTCTGTACTACGACCTTGGAGGCCAGCCGATGCTACTATAGCTCTCAACTATGACCTATGTGGCAAACTACTACCTATATGGTTCATAGCTCGTGCAGCTCCTGACTTTGACCTCTATGGCTTACGAACATTATTACAACTCTCTGCTACGGCTTATGTGGTTCATAGCTCATGCAGCTCCTAACTCTGGCTTTTGCAACTTATAGATGTTATTACAATTTCTTATTATGACCTATGTGACCTATTATACTTTGGGTGGCTCACAAATCTTGCAACTCCCAACTCCAGCCTCTATGTCCTATGAACGTTATTACAACTCACCTACTATGACCTACATTGCTCACAGGTCAAGCAGGTCCCAACTCCAACCTTCATGATCTATGAATGTTATTATAGCTCCCCTAGGGTGCAACTTTTCACGATCTCTAACTCCAAATTTTTAAGGATCAAATGTTTTTTGGTCTTGATTGTCATTTTAATTTAATATTTTTAATAAACATTAATTCTAAATTAAATAAACTAAGCTTTAATTTTAATTAACTTATACCATTTCCTCCAAAGTGATTCACTATTCGATCTCCAAATTGATTCATTTTTTCAAGTACATCATGATTTCAATTAAACCTACTATTATCAATAAAAGCACGTGTGTGCCCACAGTTAAAACAGAGCTCTGTTCCTTCTTCTATTGGGGTTGGGGTTGCTAATGGCCCATTTGGGTCAGTTATGCCTACTGAAAATGTCAGGGATAATGGACTTCCTACTGAGCCTCATCTGTGTAATAGCATTGATGTCATGCCTCCAAACCTTTCTGTGGTTCAAGATCATGATCTCCCTAATGATTTTGTTGACACTTATGTTATTCCTAATCATGTTGACTTGGTTGATTCTGTTTCTCCTATTACTGTTCAGGAAACTGATCCTCCTCTTAAGCAAGCTAATTTGCAGGAAGCCTGGATTTCTACTTCCTCTCCCTTAGTTTGGTAGAGGATAATATTCGTGAGATACCTTCTCCGCAGTTGACAGTGGTTGATGAGGGTACAATTTCGACGAGTTCTAATGCCTTGGAAGAAGAGTGGTTAGTTCAGAAATCTACCTTAAAGAAAAAGAAAAAGGAAGAATGAACTATTACATCTTAACAGGGACAATATTATCATTCATGAGAAGTGTGTTTCTGATGGCAAACAGGTCACCACCCTTCCTAGATCTTCTAAAAGGGGTGCCTTGACATTTCATGATTAACATCATGGTTTGGAATATTAGGGGATTGGCGGACCCATCCTCCCTTAATAGACTCAAGCATCTTAGTAGGGTCCATAATATCACCATCTTTGCTTTATTAGATCCTCTTGTCTCTCTTAATAAAGATCACATCTTCCGCAAATTTCTGAGATATAAACACTTTTGTAACACCAACAATAAAATTTGGATCTTTTGGAAGAACAATATTGATTTAAATATTGTTCAGGATGAGGAGCAAATTTGTGTTGGCCTACTTTAAAGAGGATTCTTTCTTCTCTTGGGTTACTTTTGTCTATGCAAGTTCTTTGCTTCAAAAGAAATACCATCTTTGAGACAAGCTTATGGTTATGGGTGACAATATAAATGAGAATTTGTTGGTTGGAGGGGATTTTAATATGATTATGAACCCCTCGGAATGGCAAGGTGGGAGAGGGAGTGATCTCTCGCTTATTAATCAGTTTAATGACAAAATTGCTGAGGCAAACCTTTTTTACCTCGGATTCACGGGTCCACCCTTCACGTGGCGGAGGGGTTCGATGTTTCATCATTTGGACAGGTTCTTTGCTAATCAACATTTTCTCAATTATTTCCATCTCTCTAAAGTGCAGCACCTCAATCATGTGGGTTCAGATCATCACCACATTTTGCTCTCTCTTGCTTTTACTATCAAACCTGTTATTTATCACTTCAAATTCCTGAATACTTGGACTTCTCACGATACCTTCTTGCGTAATGTAAAGCAGGCTTGGCATTTTAATGAAGTTGGTGACCCTTGGTTTATTTTATGGAAACTTCATAAACAGGTGGCTGCTTATTTGTGTAAATGGAACTTTACTACATTTGGTAATATCCACAATAAGGTCAAGGAAGCTCAGTTGATAGTTGATGCTTTGAAGGAGCAGGACATTTGCTCTCCCAAGCATGTTTCTGATTTGGCACAAGCACATGCTAACCTGCTTGATGCGATCTCTTTAGAAGAGGACTTTCTCCAGCAAAAAGCTCA